GCCCTTGTCTCTAGGGTTCTTGAATCTTTAAAAAAAAAGAAAGAAAAAGTTTAACATCTAACTGCTGTTCTCAAGCAAGTCCTTTAATTAGAAAAAGAATTGAATAAGCACTGGTTTCAGTACTTCTTTCTGCCATCATTTAAATCAGACAATAATCCAAAGTATGGCACAGGCTGCCAGCAAGTAAACCAAAGAAAGATGGGACATGTGAAGCACTTAAAATTTCAGTTAAGCAGTGCTTCAGAAAAGTTAGAAAGAATGAGCATTTGTGCTCAGGAGTGTGGGGTTTTCCCTCCAGGCTCCAGCTTGCTAACATAGACTTCTTGTTTTCCAAACTTCCATGCAAGAAAATCTCATGCTATTAAAGAACAAAACCCTTAAGGAAAAGAAGAAAAATACTTTCTTGTAGCCTTGAGGTCAGCAGTTGTCTCTATTGCAAAACTATAGTCTCGGCAGCCCCTCAGTGTGTTATTTTATAACCATTGTCCTGAAAACCACTATGAGTCAAAGCCTATTCAAGCGAGGGAAAGTGACATAACCACTGGTTACCAGTAGCAATGCAGTGACAATCTCTATCAGAGAAACGCCACCAGTATTTACATAGTTACATAGCAGACACTTAAAGAGATAAGTCATGGTATAAAAGGAGGGTTTCTAGCAGAACATGAATTCAAGCTAGGAAGGGGAATAGATTTATCATAGGAAATGCAATCAGCATTTGTGCTCTGCAAGGAACTTGCACAGCTCCTACTCTCCATGCATGAAAGCAGCTGCAGAGCTGGCTGGCAGTCGGAGCACTCTGGGCTGAAAGGAGTCTCTGAAAGGCACTGGGAAATGCACTTCTGGGAATTCTCCTCTACCAGCAGGACATGGCTGAAACATTTCAAGGGAAAAGAGCAGCTGTGCTTGTGAGCTACTCCCTGTGGTGGGAGCTGTGTGCTGAAGAGGGTTCAGAACACAGAGCTTTATCCCAAGCCTGCAAATAGTTCAGAGCTTATGACAGATGGCCCATGGGCAACTACTCTGTGACCCTTTTTTCAGGGGAGAAAGCAGCTGGCTGTGCCTCTCCTAGTTCCTGGTATGTGTGGTGTTTGGTAAATGTTGGTACTTGGTGGGGTGTGACAGGTACAGAGTGAGCTGTACAGTCTTTAACAGTAAAATACTTTAAAGCCAAGATACTAATTTACTGTTCACTAGAAGTCAAACAACTACTAAATATTTGATTCTGATATCAGGCCTGGCTCTGCAGAGACTTTTTTAGCAAAAACAGCTGGGTGAATTGATCATACATAATCTAGATATGCTGGGGTGTTTTTATATAACACATCCTGAAAGCATAGAGTTTTCAAACATTCATGCATATATTCATGGACTTGGAGCAGCAGTAGGTCATGAGGTGTACTTGATTAGAAGGCAAAAGAAAAAAAAGAAAGAGGCAAAAAAGCACCCTCCTGCCTACCTGCATTGTTCATGAGATCAAGAACGGATTTATCCTTTACTTAAACAGAAAAAGTTAAAGTGAGGAGGTGACTCACTCTGCAAAAGCACATCTCCCTTGTATGATTTCTCTGCAAAGGGAGGTTTAATTTCTTCCTTTTAATGACAATGAGCACAATACTGATCTTCTTCCAGCAGTTAATGGCTGGCATAACAAGCAGCATGAGAGCATGACTACATTCTTCAGCCTTCTTCTGAATCCATAAACTGCATCAGGCTTTGCGTCCACAAAAGCCACCAATAAACCTGCATTGCTCCCCTCTCAAGCACAACTAACTCAAGTGTGAAATTCCAAACCAGTCACACTGACTGAACTCCTTCTCCAGTGGAAGAAGGGATGTGAAAAGTTCCATCACAAATACAGATGGCTTTTCATTTCCATGTGCTCTGCATGTGCTGTAATAACCCATAGCAAGAACAGATTTTGACTGATGGCCCTTGCAGTTGAGGCAATTTCAAAAAAACACCAGGCAGGAAGCCTGACCATTATGGCAGGAAGCTGCAGTAACATATGCATGGGGAACAAGAGGAGAAGATGTGTGTGTTCTTCTGTGTTATTTTGCCACTGAACCTCTGAATGACTTTTGGCAACTATCTTTACCTCTTATTTTGCATTCTGCCTATTGTGACTACTCCTTCATGTACTGGACATCCTAGTTATCATACACACGTGATTTACATTGAGAAACTATCAAGTCCAAGTTTTACTTTAAATCTGTTTAATTAATCTTGAAAGAAAAGGCATAATGTTCTGTCCTCTATAAAGGAAATTAAAGAAAAGGCTTAATAGAGAATTTTATGTTCATATGCCATGGTTAGAAAATAACTACAATTAAGACAAAAATACATGATCCAGTTTAAATGAATGCAAGGCACCAATAGAGAGAGCAATGCTATCTCAGGGTGTTGTTTCTCAAGGAAAAATTCCAACAGAGCCTGCAAAAGGTTCTTGTTGCCTACTGGTCCATGAACTGTGGAATAAGAAAAATCCCCAGTGCCCTTCCCACACAAACCCCTGCCTGCCTAATTGATGACTGGCTGGTGAGCAGCTTGACAAGACCTCAGGACTGACAAAGCAAGCATCCTACTCAGGCTGTGTCTCTCACTGTGTGACACTGAAAGGGGGATTCACAATGTGCCCTTGAAGCATAACCAAACCTGGAGTGACTGGGATAAAATAATTTCTGTTCAGACATACCCAGATTCTTAGAAGGTTACTTTTGTTCTGCATTGGAATGAAAGGGCTATAGCCAGAAATTCAGTGAAATTCAAATTCCAGGGTGTTTGAGTTGTGGAGAAAGAAGTTATTTCAGTATTGAACAAATATTTAACAAGTGTCTCATTATTGAATTCTGGAAAACCTAACAATGTTTTGAAGGCTCTCATTTTAGCAAAACTGAGGAACTATCTGCTATGCACTCCCACTAGCCATTTTGGTGACAACTTCTGCTTTACTAATCTCTCAGGAGGAAAGGCCAAATTAATTCTTAAGTACAGAGGAGTGAACACCCCAAGTTTTCAAGCACCCATCAGCATACATGGTAACCCTCCAATTACAGTAAACTGCTGCTTAATGTGTGGCAAGACAAATTCAAGACTAAGTGGTCCAGAGAATATGACAAATCCAGTCAAGAAGTCTTTCCAGTTCTGAAGAACATGAGCAATTGCTGTTAGAGAACCACCAAATGAACATATTCTAGAAGGTATTCATGGATTCCTCTGCTCTGAGCAGTAGGAAATGACTGTGCAAATGCCTTTAGCAACAGGTCATTTTACCTCCATGCAGCAGAATTCCCTTTGTCTGAAATGACTTCACTTAGGTTTAGCTGGGATACATTTTCGGTTTGGAACAATGCAAGTCTAAGCAGCCAGAAGGGAAATGTAACAAGGAACACAAGGATGTATGTTTTGTTTCACAGCCTGTGGTAAGATACAAGGAAGATGAACAAGCTTCACAGAGGAATTAATGCAGTCTGCAGTCCACTTGGAAGTTAAAAGACCAAGAGGCAGAGTATGGATCAAAGCTGGAAGTTATTGATGAATCCACTTCAAAGCAAATGGAACAGGAAGCTTCTGAACAATTTGAAATCCTGCTGATGGTTTATTTGAAACTACAGGACACATTCTTGCACAGGTTTTAAAAGCTTTCTGGACCACAGCTATGCAGCTATCTTTAGATTGGTATGGACTGCTGTCAAAGAACTTTCCTCTTTAGAAGTATGACAAATAAGTCTTACTATGCTTGTTGTGATTTTTTAAATACAAAAGGCAAGTCATCCTTTCCTACACAAACATCTGTGGGAGTGTAAAAGGCCTCCTTAACCCACAATTTTTATTTCAGTAATTTTCTGCAGGGAGTGAGGAAGATAAAGGCAAGTTCTATAACCATAAAACATGAAAGAGACAAATATGGGTGGTATTTCTGTGATAGAAACCCTGCAATTAGCTGGAACCAATGCTTTCCAAAGCACATCTGACTTCTGACAAACTGAGTTCCAGAGCCACAGCCTGCTGTCTTTGGGCAATTGCTCACAGCCTCCCTGTCTTTGCTGCTGGGGAAAATTCATTCAGCCAAGGAGTGAGGAACTCATCAGTTTTTTGGCAAAGCTCTTAGGGACATACATGTGGTCCCATGGTATTTAAATCGAAACATATTTCACTTTAAAGGAATCCTTCCAAGGTAAATTCACCAAAGGAGTAACTCAGAACAGACTATTCCAGTACAAAGGGAGGGACCTACAGTGACCATCCAGTCCAACTGCCTGAGCAGCTCAGGACACTTCAGCCTGTGCTGAACTGCATTCTCAGCCTGGGGGCCTGGATATGCTCCTACCTGTGACTTCCATCCAGCTGTAGGCAGCCCTTCATCCTGGGGTCTGGCCTGCAGGACTGATGAGCTGGGGTGGGTTACAAGGTCACTGCCTCCTGCTGCTCCCCACCACTGCAGGGCCAGAGGGTTCTGCCTATTCGTGGCAGCTGATTCCATGGAATCAAACACACAGGCAACACATGAAACAAGAGGCAGGCATTCCAGTCACAAAACTAGGAGATTACAGCTATTAAGCCCATTCTGATCAACCAGATAAAGAAAAAGATTTCACCTCTCCACTGCTGTAATTACATGGAATTAGTCCTGGAAGCCCAGATGATACTTCTTTCTTGATCCACAGTCTTCCAATTTTCTTCCAAATTAGCCTTTAACTATCCATAGCTAAACTATAGTCACTTAGTAAGAAATGAAGCAACAATTTTATGCAAAACTCAAGATCACATTTGTCATACTAGAAGGCAGGAGTGGGTTTGTTATTTTATTTTTTATTTGAAATATTGCAGAGCTTTCTTATGATACATACACATTGATAGGGCTTCCGGTAGCACACTATCAAAAAAAAATTAGAATTCTGAATCATAATCAGAAATAAATGACTCTAACATCTATTAAGATGGTTATTTAAAAAATGTTTTGATGAATCATGCAAAAATGTTCACAAAGAGCATTATACTTTTTCATAGATAAATGTTTTGTTTTTCCTAAGTCTTACAAAAAGAGCTTGTGCTTTAAACACTTGAATTGAAAAAAAATATTTACAGCAGACATCATAAATGCCACATTTAAGTTCATAGAGGCAAAGTGGTGATGGTCCCCTGTTTTGCATTCACCAAACACGCTGAGGGTTTCAGATCTCTTCCATAAACTCCCAATTTAAAAGCGTTCAGTCTTGGATCTTCAGTACGCTCCTCTTCTCCAAATCATTCATTTCCTTCAGTATAAGGGCAACATTGTATCTCAGTTCTTGAAACTTTGCAACTGGCACCTGAAATAGAATGCTCAGGTTAGAAAACACAAGACATTGCAGGAACTTGACTAGGGCATGTCTATGGTTATGGAACCTTCTGCAGTGTAAGGCAAATTTCTCTTAAAATACTTAATTTTTCCAAATTTAAGACAAAGGATTTAAGGTTAATAAAATTCTGGTAATTCAACTAAATCCACATGGAAAAGGAGGATGGGAAAAAAACAGAAGTAACACCTAGATTGTACATTTTCTGTACTGCCTGATGAGAGAAAAGAAATACTCAAGGATGTAAATTGAGAGCTGCTAGGGTGATATAAAAGTCATGGACTGGAAGGAAAGACATCTGGAAGGTTGTGGAGACTACAGAAATCTCAAGCAACAAATTCAAGATATTCTGTTTCTCCAAACTTGCAAGACAAAGGAATTGAGACTCGAGGCCAGACACTTGGCAGCAACCTCAAGAGCAAATGGCACTTCCACTATGTGTGGAAGGCAAAAGATTTAGGGTTAAACACACAAAGCATTTCCAACTGTGCAGGAGACTCATGGCGTCACCATTTCAAGCCTGAGAAACCCAGTGGATGGAAATTTTATCTGTGAAGAAAGAGACCCCCAGCTGGGTGCAGGCACAGCCTGGTGACACAGCCTGGTGACACCAGTGCAGTGCACAAACACACACACGAGTGCCCAGTGCAGTCTGGCTGGTCCCACACAGTCTGCACAGCACTGCCTAATTTACTCCTCAGACTGCACTGAAGACAGCAGTTCTTTTGGCAGAGCCCCTTGTCATCCTCCTGCCCACTCTGGCACAGATACCAATTATATGAGAGGAATCCAACACCTGATTTGCATTTTCCACATATATCAGAAATGCATAAAAAGGCATCATGTCCTTTTCACTTTTGACATATATACAACAAGACTCAAAATGCTGCAATTCCCACTGCTTAAAAAAAACAACTTCAGTCAGAAGCCACACTGTGATTAAAATACCAAATGGAGACCAAAGAGTGTAACTTCTCCCTGTGCTATACACATTTTAAAACTGTTCACAACAGAATTATTTTCTGGACTTACCATCTTACATAAGCCCTGTTAGTTAGCACAACATTCTGAATGTGTTCAAATAAAGGAAAACTGAACATCTGAGGACTATGTTTACTTGCATAAACTTGCTTACTCAAACCAGAACACAAGTTTATTCCAAAGAGCTAACTGTGGGAAGACCTCTCATCAGATCTAGAAATCCTGTCTGAAGTCACACCCTTGGCATTCAGATCCAAGAGGCAGCAACAGCAAAGAGCTGATTCTAGGAGAAGCACACTGTTTGTTATCAGATAGCTGCACTCCTGCATGTGCTGGACAAACACACCTCCACTGCAGAATAACTAAAGGTCTTCCACATTGAGGAAAAGACCCACAAAAAACAAACCCTAAAATCAAACCAAAACAGTCAGAAAAAATGGCACCAAGACCAACACTGGACATGATATGCCAGGAACTAAAGTGGGAATAAACTAGATTTTATCCTCACAAGTGAAACTTACCCTTTTGTAAACGGTTAACCTGGAGTCCATGGCATCATTTAAGTTCCATGGAAGCCCTCAAACACAGTGTATGGGATGCTCTGAGCTGGACAGTCCAGAGGGGTAAATTTGATCTCCTGTGAAGTGACACCCCCAACAGTTTGCAATGTAGCACAGAATTTATGCCCTTCTCTACAGATGCTTTCTTGCAAAACAATTCAACAGCAAAATCAGTCCACCTCTTTCAACCCACAGGGCTTTGGTGCTTCTTCCAGACAACTACTAATGAGAGAACTGAAGCCAAAATCTGTACAGAGTTCAAGTGTAACAATGCCTGCTGTGCATTGAATTCCTGTACGCACCACCATGCTATTCATAGAACAAACAGCATTCCTTTCCAAAGGTTAAAATTATGGAAGAGTTTATGCCATCTTCTGGCAAGCCTTTAAGTACAGTGTCATAAATACTGCCACTGACTAATCCTGTAACAAGCAAAGAGGGTTTTTTTTACTTTCTAGCAGCCAGAACAGTTCTGAAGAAAAAGAATAAAATTACCTCTGCCACAGAAAAGACTGTTACCATTCTCTGCCAAATGCAGAAGGTTTGCAAGTGTCTCATACATTATATAAACTATCCCAGTAATTTTTCTGCCCTCAAGAGACAACATCAGGTCTGAAGGTTACAGTTCATAACAACCCCATAACTTTTAATCAAACCAGACATTATGTAATAGTGCTTTCCAGTAATTAATATTCTTCTAATAAATTGCGGTTCAGCAGAACATGTGCAGGAACAAGGTATGAAAATATTTTGATTGGTATTTCATTAAATATTTCATGTGGCAACACTGAACATGAAGGATTCCAAAGCAAACCAACCAATGGTAATACACCATTTACAAAAGCTTTAGTATTTTAAATAATAATTCAACTTTCTAAATAAAACTAGAAGTGGTTTCCTTACTATTTATTATGGCAATCAGACTTACTTCAAAGCGATGAGCTGTCCCATCTGAAAGCTTCATCATCATCAGAATGGATGGCTGGAGTGCACGGGCCAGTGAACTGAAATTATTTACATCATTAGGATTACAGCAGTACAGATCAGCACTGTGATGAGTACAGCATTGCACATTAACAATTTTAGATGTTCATGTAGGCTTTACACAGGACATGAGTAATTTCAGTCACAGAGTCTGGCTGGAAACTCATGAACACAACAGCTCTGTCCAATTTACCTCAGTATTGAGACTTAACAGTTAATAGTTTAGTAACTGCAAGTTTAGGAGCATTTTCATTTTTACATAAGTGGTTTAGTGGAACTCTGATAGGGATAAGAGCTGGCCAAGTACTGCTAATAATAATGCACAGTTTTCTTATGCAGTTTTCAATGCTGCATTAATCATTTCCATCCCTTCATACATTCAACTGCCACCTCATTCGGGGAATCAGCCTCTTCCAGGCTTCATCCTAAATTTGTGTGTTATTTTATTTGATGACCCAAAGAAGGGAAGTGAGTCATTCTTGTGCAGCTTCCATCAACTGACACTGCCAAAGCCTGCTCAGGTACAGACAGGCACTACAGCCCAAAGCTGCCATACCTCCCTGCAGAGGCTGTTGCTGGATGATAAACAAGAAATCCCAGGGGGAAGATTAACTGAAAACAAAATTAAAAGGAAGGAAAACAAAAACCGGTAATGTATTGCTCCTCCTGTGTAGTTTGGAAAACAAATCATAGGATTTGCTTTCAGCTTGCAAGCACTTTGCCTGAGGATGTTTACCTGGACATTTTGCTCTCCTATCAGTATAGACTCTTTTTCTACAGTGATACCTGTGTGGTGCTTACAGCACTGCTCATCAGAAAGTCACCTGAACAAGTAACTTGTGGCCATTCCAATTTTCTCTTAGGAGTCTTTTTTCTTGATTTCAGGAAGACAATTCTGATCAGCCATGGGCCTTCCTGGCACCAAAGAGACAGCACTCTCTCCCAGATGCAGGTATTCAGACACACAACATGGAGTCACTCATGCTAACAAATTACACTACTAACAAAGACTGGATCATCTAATTTCTTTCAGCTTGGTCTGTCCTGGTTAGGACTGGACAGAGAGCAAACAGCACAGACAACAGGTTTCTGTTTCCTTCTGGGTCTAGCCAAAGATGCATCCCCACATGCCTCTGTTGTGGCAGATGGTAAGAAGCTGTTCACTGCAGGCACAGGCAGGATGATCTCAAAGGCTTTTACTCCTGCTGTGAAAGAAACTAGGAGGTAGTTCAACCAGTTACATAACTATGGCAGTGTAAAGGTGCTGGCCTGAAACTTCTCTCTGTAGAAGCAGAGTACAGGAGATGGAAATTCATTTACCATGTGCAAAAAATGATGATCTGCTTGAGAAGTTGAATAGATGAATACCCTCCCCTGTTCCAGTAAAACTAAGAGCTTGCCTAGCTGCTTGAGGCTCAGTCTGACTAATTGCCATTATCTGTGGATTTGCACCAGCTCTGTTAAGTTTTAAAATAAGAGACTTAAACTTTGAAATGTTACCAGCAGTAAAGTCTACATACACCGACTTCTACACTGTTCAGAAAATTCCACCTGTATCTTACTGTTTAAGGCTACCTGCCAATCCCTAATAGCAAGGCACATTTTGACCCCATTAAAATGTTTAAGCAGCACAAGAAATCAGTTTAATCTTAGGTAATTCCAGGGATGTGCATGATTCTCTGTTGTACCTTGTGGATATAGCTACATCCACTCTCCACTTGAAGTCCTGGATACTTGGCAGCCGACTTCTTTGTACCAGAGCTGTGCCTTCGGAAGGGGGGCGCCTGGAGAGTGGATCAGAAATAGGAGACTGAAATGTAAATCCATAAAAGAAGCAACAATCTAAAGAGAAAATAGAATTCATCAGTACAAACCTGTCCAGAATTTATTTCTCTCCTACATCTGTCCTTAAAGAGGTCTGAATAAGCAGAGTTTTTGTGGATTTAAGATAGTTGTGCTCAGATTATCCCATTTTTGATGCTTAACTATGGTCCATGTTGAAAAAAGAGACCAAGTGACTGTATAATTCTAGTAAACTGATGCCACTACAAAGATTAGTAAGAGTCATTGTGGTGGCTGGCATACCTATTATTTCAATTATATGCAACTGTGAGGCATAGAAAGGGATCTGCAAACATATCCTTACCTTCATGCAAATCCAACAGGAACAAGCAAGCAGAGACAAGACAGATGACTTAGGCAAAACAGTTGCATAAGGTCACTGTTCTTCCTCAGCAAAAACCATCTAGTATTTGCAAGCAGTAATGTTTTGAAATATAATATTAGTGTATTTTGAAGCATATTTAAAAAAAAACCCACAGTGGTTCTTGTTGATCCAACATAATTTACAAACTTTAAGTTTCTTACATGATGTTCACTGCCAACCCCAGCTCAGCCATCAAGATTTTTGCCTAGTCTAATGTGTGAGAAGCCAAGCATTTCATTTGTTACTCATATTGCAGGAAGAATCAGGCTGATCAAGTCCTAGTTTATTTCTGTGTGGAAATACAGTTAAGAGCAATTAAACTTCAGATGGTAGACAACTTTCAAAATTTTAACAACATGCTGAGTTCTGGATAACTAAATGGCAAATCTGATGCAAATACATAATAGCCATTAGATATAGAGGCAGAAATAATTTCAGAATGAGGTCACTGTGCTGGTCCATTCAGGAGGTAGATTCTGGACTTTGAGTTACTCTTTTTTTTTCTCTCTAAGCATCCCATGTCCCTGGAATTTATTTGCAGTACGTTTCAAGGCTACTCCAGTACTTCCACTAAGGGCAGGATAAGAAACATTACATCCTTTATCCATGGTGCTAGACATAATCTAATTACAGACTTTGCATCAGAAAGGAATCCTCTCTGAGCAAACCAAGCACTGTAGGAATGGCAGTCTCACATCACTACTGAGATTCTTGTGTGCAAGTTAGCTGGGCCTTTAGAAACTGCCCAGAAAGATTAATGATCTGATAAGGTACAGGGACTCACAGGCTGAGATCCTCCAAGTGTCCTGCGTTTGGCAAAGGTGATATAAGAAAGAATTTATCTCTTTGGTGAGGGGAGGCTGGGTGGTGTCAGAAGTGAGACACATTCCTTATAGCATGGTAAAGAAATGAGCAAAAAAAAGTAGATCAGCTGGTTCTTACTCATTTACTCATTGTCAGCCCCTGGATAGGAAGTAGGTCAGCACAGCTGGGTGCAGCCATGAGGAGCTGGAGTCCAGAACAGTCATTAGCAGGATTAAACAGTAAGAACAGGCCTTTCCCTCAGCGGAGAGCTGCTGCCAGAGTATTGCTTAAGTTGGAGACTCCCTAAAAATAGCCACACTGCTACTGTTTCCTTAAGACATGTTAACTCCCATCAATGGAAGTCAGTCCATTCAGTGCAGCACCAGCACCCTGGGGGAAGAAAGGAGTTTTAAAAACAGAAAGATATTCTACTTAGCAGTGGTGGGAAAGATCAGGAAATGGTGACCTCCAAAACAGAGGGGAAGCTTTGAATACTGTTGAGAGATGGCATTTCTGTGGTCAAACACAAAGCTTTATTTCTGGTCAGGACTGCACTCCTGTGCCATTCTCCTAGGAAGAGTCACAGCTTCTATGGCTTAGTTTAAGCTTCTGTCAGGACCTTCCCAGCTTGGACAAGACCACAGTGGGAACTGCAAGAATCCTGCAAAGATGACAGAACGTGCATAGTGGCCAACATGCATACAGAAATTACACAGGCTGCTAATCAAGCCATTGATTTCTGAGAGGAATAGCAAAATGGACCAGAAAAGACTCAATGAATCTTACATCTAAAACCTATAGCCTACAATTACATTTTGTAAACACTCTGTGCCAGCAACTGCAATATACTGTCAGCACATTGTGCAGAAGGCAGAAGTCAGAACAAGCAAAAGACCATGGATCAGGTAAAGACCATCCTAGAGACCATACAAGCTGTGCTGGAAAGGATGATACACCTGGTGACAAGAACATCACCTCCTAAAGGATTCAACTCGAAAATGAAAGATTAGAGAACTTGGAGCAGCAGCTGATCTACCAGTACCAAAACTAAAGACAAGTTCTGGATGGTTCCCTATGCACATAACAAGACATTCCTAGCAGGCCACTGAGCAAAAACCATCTAGTATTTGCAAGCAGTAATGTTTTAAAATATAATATTAGTGTATTGAGTCTATGTTGAAGCATACCTAAAGAAACCCACAGTGGTTCTTGTTGATCCAATATAATTTACAAACTTTTAGTTCCTTACAAAGACTGAACAAACTTGTATGTGTGAAATGCTGACAAATAGCACACAGAATGCACCCTCCTGGTAGAAACTAAAGGTACACCATTAGAAAAAAAACCCCAAAACAGTGCATTTATTATAAACATTCAGAGAGGGTGAAGTGTTGTCCTTTCCCTTAAAAGACAGTTTTAATTTCATGTAGTTATTTGATGTGGCAAGTTTTTCTTTCAGTCTACATAGCTTGGTGGAACTGTGGGGACACAAATACAAATGCCAAATACTTCAGAGTTGTTGTTTAGTGAAAAGAACTCCAAAAATAAGATAAGATGCCAGGAAAAGTATTAAAAATGGATTTTTCTGGGTTATCTAGCTCATACTGAATTACTGAATTTTTGATGTCATGCTAATGCACCTCTTACCATCACAAATATATATATTTACAACTCAATAAGCATATGTATGATTCAGTGTTACATTTAAGATTGTAGAAGCAGATCTGTCTAAAAATCAAACCTGAGGTGTTCATCTCTGGTCTCAAAACACAGAGGAAGATTACACTGGATAATCACAGCTTTCAAAATGAGAAAAAGCTAAATTTTCCAGCATCGTGATTTCACAGTAGAAAACAGACAATCATGCATGCTTCAAATTACATCTAAATTTATCTTCCTTCCCTACTGCAAGCAGTATTTCCACTTTGCAACCATGAATTTTGCATTCTTAACACCTATAATTCAAACAGAAGAGCAAAGAAAAGACGAGATGACTGAATTTATTTTTACTCCAAGAACCTTTATCTGTAAGCCAAGATCTTAATCAAAGAAATGAGAAATATTTTTAGCTTTGGTAGCAGCACTCAGACCCTTGAGGGTAACTGAAAAACCACAACTATGATTATTGGGATTCCAGGCAGAGCATCTGAAGCAGCATTGGGTTGGTGATGTCACGTGCTGAGTGACCTCAAGTTTCAAGAAGGAGAGTTGGCCCACAATGATCATCTCAGTCCAACTCCTCGCCCTGTACAAGTCTGCATATTCAAAATATTCCAGATTTTTAATTTCTAGATGTACAATAGGCTAAACATGGTTGAGCAGAGAAACTTCTAGAAAAAGGGAATCCCAAGAAGTGGCAAAAGAGACAGGCTGTTCATAAAGCTCTCAGTTTAGAACTTACTCTAGAGTTACTGAGGAATGTTGCTTAAAAAGTGAATTGTAGAGCACTTGATATCTCATATGTGTTGTCATCAAGTCACTCAGTGTGAATTCCCAACTGAACTGTACATTAAGACTTGAGAAATGCTATCTGAGAGAGCTGCCATGAACCAGAGCAGGTAGGGGGCTTATGAAGCCTGCCTTGCAATGATAATGATGGTAAAAATGTAATTCTGCACTGCATTTTTCATCTGTGGGTATTGATCAACCTCACAGTCTATAGAACATTAGAAAAACTGATGAACACAGAAAAACTGAGAATTGGCAAGAAAGCTACTTAATGCATGTATTGCCATGCATGATGGACATCACACTGTGCTGAATCAAGATAATGGGACAAGTCTTGTTCTCATTAACTTGGAAAATATTGCTGTTCCTTCAATACACCAAGGATTTGTGTCAGCAGAGCTCTGTGCAGCCCTGCTGTCTGCACAATGAAGACACTAACCTGTTACCAAAGACTACACTGGAAAAGTCCACAATGAAATCTTCTGGTATTCTGAAAGAGATAAGCAAGAAAAAACAGTTAGGGATTTTTTGTAACCATAGTTATATGGCCTTACCTGAAAAAACCCTCAATCTCTTACAGAACACAAAAGATGTGTCAACATTTTCCATCTTCCATTGCTTAAAATTGCCAGCTCTTATGTAAGCACTTCAGTATTGATTCAGTCAGGACTCTCAAAAGGACAACCTGTGTTTATATATCAAGAACCCTAAAAACTGCTACATCTGCCCATCCTACCTTGTATGGCAATGGTGTATTTCAAAAGAACCCAGTATTGGCTTAACTTCTCTCAGTAAAGTCAAGAAAAATTTTACTGATGGCTCTGACAAGTGCAGAAGGCAGGCCAGCAATGCATGCTTTCAAAAATCCCAAACTGACATTTTTCATTTCACTTTCACCTCCAGTGTAATGAACACAGAAGGAAATGCCTCTCAACATTCAAACAGAGGCCCTACTTACAAAGGAGCATATGTGGAGACTGGTTGAAGAGACTAACACAGTCCATCTACCCCCACCTTTCCACTCCTTCACCATTCCTTTGACACTGCTGTTGCCTTACAAACAAGCCACTGTTGATTTTCAGTTCAATAGATCAGGCTGTGAATTGCAAAGACCACAGAGCAAACACCATCCATTGAGCTGCCTGTGCCACAGGGACAGTAACCTCCTACAGAGAGGCAGGTTGGACAAGTGGGAGAAGCCACTACAGCTGCTGCCACAGTTAAATCCAGCACTCACCATGAATCAGTGCCCAGAGACATTACTCACCAGTGGCTTGAGACACACAGCAGTGCATCAAAGGAAAATCAAAGCAAACAAGGAAGTTATATGTCCTAAAGAGCTTACAGTGTCTAATGGCCAGAGAAAAAACAACTCATCAACTCACACAGTGGGATGATGAAACAGCAGTTACTACAGCTTCAATTCAGAAGGGGAGCAGTGGGGTTAAACCACATTTTAAAATAGTGCTTGGATAAAAAGAAATTCATTTTAGCAAGCACTAGAACAGTGTTTTTTGGCTGCAAGAGTCTGACTTTCAGAAAAGACAAGACTATTTCTGCAAACATTACTCACACTTTTGTGCAAGTGTATCATTTAGCCCATCCTGACACTGACTGGATACCCTGACTATGTAGTGGAATAGCTGGAGACAGGGCTGTAATATGATTATGATGACACCTACCACAACACTTGATTGACTCAAGAGCATTACTAAAACAGAAGCATTAACACCACCCTTGAGTTTGCATTATTTTTGCTGTGCAATGATCTCACTGGAAATTCTGTTCCTGGCTCCTCAGCACACTTGAGGCCAGTCAGACATGACACAGATAAGATAGAACATGGCACAGTTCAGTCTGAACTACAGATAGCTATCACTTGTCATTGGAACATTCTGAGGAAGGGACTCAAAGGGCAAGAAATGTGTGAAGATGTCTCAATCCCATGTTATTCGCCTGAGTCATAAAGTTATTAAATAATCTGTGAGGGGAGGGAAAAAAAAGCACCCACAATTTAGTGTGAATTTATTCCCACTGGCTCAACCACTCAGGCTAAGAAATAGGGAATTGCAACTTTTTAAAACTAGTAATATTTATGTACTTAATCAGAATTGGGCATGTATTCCAGCCTCTCTCTTCATCAAAACTAGAAGCCAAGATCAGGTACCTCACCAGAAAATTGAGAATTACAGGATATTGTATGGGCAGAATTATATGTCAGAGGTAGAAGTTAGGAAGAGTCCCAGTACTGTGAGAATAATGGGAGCATAGCAGCAACTAGCAGCCCATAAAACACTCAAGTCTGCAAGCAGCACAAATGCAGTTACCTAACTATTGCTGCTAGATAAGCCCTATTAACCAGAACAGTAAGAAAAAAAGATGTACCAAGATATAAAATATATAAAAAAGGTCATCAAGACTGAAAAGTATCTAAGTAAAATGTATGAATAAATCATTAAATGAGAAAAAAACTCCCAAACACTACTACAAAAGTGTAAGTCATTGAAGTGTGGTCAAATGGCAAGGACAGGGACCTGGGAGTCTGCATTTCTGACACAGCCAGCCCAGACAGTGACCTCTGACACTCCTGTACCAACTTTCTCCACTGCTCAGAAGAGGAATATTGACCCAGCCAGAGAATTTGGCATAGAACTTTAGTATTCTTCATTATTCCATAATCAAGCTTGGCACATTCTGTGTGCACCTCAAAAGACACCAGCTCCCACTGGGCCAAAAGCAATTCATCAGCTTCTTACTGACCTGCTTTAACCTGGGTGTGAACTCCATGACGTGGCAGAGGCAGCAGCTTGCATTTGAGCTTTCAAGACAAAAGGCAGGCCAAACTCCAGCACTGAGCCACAGACACAACAGTATCAACTTGCAAGGCACCTTTCACTATGGCCCAAATGCCACCTTTCATTGATTACACCCCAATTACATCTGCAGTTTTAGCTTGCCTGAAGTTGCTCATAAAGTAAATTGTGCTTATGATTTAACTGCTTATGAGGAGAAAGCCATTATTGTACAGGTTAATGGACAAATAAGGATGAAAAATGACAGAATTAGAAACATCTGTTTCTCCTAGGTAGCAATCAGAATGTTAAAGAAATGTGCAAAAATAGTGTTTTAAAATAATTAAGCCTTGGTGCAGATGTTTCACTACAGAGGAAAACATCAACTGCTGTTATTCTCTCATTGCTACTGAATATAGAAATAAGGGAAAACCTATAAATATTACTAGCATCTGACCTCTAGCTTTTAGGATATGATCCCTTCAGATATACTCATGGAAGACTGATATAGATTTTGTCAAAGGCTGTAACAAAGGTCATGATTTCTTGGGTAATGGGCACGAGAAATCATAGCTGAACATGGTGGTCGGGTTTCATGAACGTTATATCATTGACCTTTCAAAGAAGGAGAGAAGTAGGGCAGTTCTTAGCTTCTGAAATGCTACCACTGTCTTACCAAACACTTAAAAAAATATTGCAGGGCAAGATGGGGATGGCAGAGAGAAGGTCACTCATATTTGCATAACCTACATTACAGAATAAATCAGACCATTTTCCCCAGCAGGTGAAATAAAACTGCTCATGCTCAGTGCTAAATCAAGTCTTACACAACACCTGTTTTTTCCCTCTGCCTTTACATGATGTTTGGCAACAGATGCATTAAGAGGCACTTACAGGTAATTTTTATATCAACTTTTTAGTGTAAAAATGTTAATTTGGGGAAGCAGTTACATAAAAGCCATGAAAAAACAAACATTAAATGACTGGTGTATGCAGGCATACCTGAGCTCCTTCAAGTCTTCTTTAAAAACCTGAAAAGACAAGGAAGATGAAATTTTACATGATATAGCCTTAAATTATAATTTCTTACCTACTGACACAATAGTGGTCACTTATTTGGTATCTCTCCCCAAAAATTTTAAACTTGAGTGCCAGTAGTTTTGAAGTGACTGGTAATATATTGAAAATAATTTTCAGAAGTGTTCAATCAAGTTGTGATTTAAAGACCTAAATATCTTGGAAGCCTTTATTTTTCAAAATAACACTTCTGTCACTTCTTTTATGTAGCTATTCAGAAACATTTTTCTTTTAGACTGGCTATATGCCCTTATTCTCAAATACATTTTGCAGTAACTTGTTTAAACTATGACAAGAAAAAGGAAATGGCAGAAGATAAGATCTGAATATTAAAAGCATACTTCCACTATATTTCCTGCAATATGGGAGCTTTCCCAGTATGCCTGGGTAAATATGAAGCTGTATCTTAAACAACTGGTAAACTGGAAACCCTGAAGTGGCTCACTCACATAAAAATGAGAAAAGAAAACTGTAAGGTAAGGGAACATGAAAACTTAAGAAAATAACCATGAAGATGGGATAGGGGTTGGGAACATGGTGGGTGTGTGCATATTCACACCAGACATCCACAGCATAAACGGAAACTGCACTTTCTTCCAAATTCCACTATATTGTTCTGGCCTTAATACCTTCCTTCCTCTATGGAAGAAATGTGAACAAAGGAGGCAAACAAATATGAGAAATTGAAAGCATGGGCAAAAATGAGTGGTATGTGTGAACACCCAGTAAGAGTGAGTGTTGATGCCTGTGAAATAACATTTTGCTATGATTTCTTTGGCAGTTTTAATTTATGAGTGAAAACAAACATGCACAGTGAACAAGATACTGAAGTAGAAATAGATATAGGAATCTTTTTCCTGAAGCTTAAATATTTTTTCAAAAAGCTCACTCTAAATCTACCCAAAAAGTGAAATAATGATTTTAACAGTTTCTTCCAACAACTTTAACTTGGAGAATCATTTCTATGTGCATTTTCCCACCCAGGCAAATGAGATTTAGATGGTGACTTGTGTCTGATGCAGCTTTTACCTTATCAAGGCTCCAAGTACTCCCAGAACTTACTTCTTGTTTGAAAGTTGATAAGGGGAGTCTCAAGGCTTCTCGGAGGAGGGTGTACATGCCAGAGATGAGGAAAGCAAGTTGCTCTTCTGAGAGGTTAGCACTTTCTGCAATCAGCCTGACAGATTCCCTGCAGTCTTTTCCTTCCAATGCATTAACAGTGACTGTGAATAAGAAAAAAAGGCAAGATCCTTGATTTACTCAACGGTGTAGCTCTTGACTTTGATGGTCAAAGGTGCATTGACAAAACTCTTACCACAGGGAGAAGCCTCACAGACAAAAATTAAATCAATCATTGAGACAGTGTAGCAGAGCCTGCAACACCACTGGCTGGATAACCTTCAGATACTGTTACATGCAGTTTTTACATGGGAACTGACCAGGTACATGAAACTGCATCTCATTTTTTACATTAGTCTTTGTTTAGCAATAGAGTAACAGCAACAGCCTCAAAAAACAAACCTGGTGCAAGTGCAAGAGCGATGTAGATAAACAGTGTTGAAATCCATCACATCTTCAAAGATTACAAAACCTTCAGAGGAAAAACTGCAACCCTGCAAACAGTGAGTCACAGGCCAGCAGGAGCAGACAGCGATGGGAGATTGGTGCCAGCTCTGCATAAGCAGAGGGAAGCTGTGCCCACCCACTGCAGGGGAATCTGCACTGGGGTCACTGCCCTGGCTCCAGGCACTTGGTTTGGGAGGACTGTCCGCCCCTGCTATGGTAGGCAGCATTTATTGCACTCCTGAAAGCAGGTGATAGCTTACACCAAAATCAAACCCATACAGTCAGGCTGACTGGCACTGAAAAGGCTTTTCAGTCTCTATGTTCCTGCACTAGACAGCAAATGTAGTTCAACATGTGTACTTACTTCTGTCCCAAATGCCTCTGCCTGTACACAGCTTTACTATTTCAAGAATTACAAGGAACCCCTGAATACATTGATAATTTCTGCTACTGTGCAGCAACACTTTTAGAGACAAACCAGCTACCAGATGTTTTGAGTCCTTCAAATCAAAAAGGAAATCCCTGACAAGATGTTAGCTGAGAGAACATGCCAGGGTCACACCACGCTGGGCAGCAGCTACCCTCCAGCAAGGTGTGCTTTCACTCCACTAATCAACTCTTCCATTATTCCATGATTGTTTTACACACCATAATTTACTCAAGTGTGTAACTCTTGATTTTGATGGTCAAAGGTGCCTTGAGAAAATTCTCACTAGAGGGAGAAACCTCACAGACAAAAATGAAATCAGTCATTGCAAATCTTACAGCCTCAACAGGACACCTGTACCTGGGGGTTGCTGTATTGTCTCCTGCACATTTTGTAGATGCCCACGGGGTCTCTGACTGCCACACACAGCCTGACAGGGACTGAGCTGTTGCCTCTGGGACACAGGGATGGGAGAGGAATGACTTTAACAGCACTCAGCTGATTTTGAGGCCCATCCACAGCTGCAGAACTCCGTTCCTCATTATTTCACAGAACTGTAGAATACAATGAATCAAGCCCCTCATTTTATTTAAAGCTCAGCTCTAGCTTCCTGTTGGGAAAAGCAAAGGGAAGTGCTCCAGGAAGCTGCAGCCCTCCAGCTGCAGCCCTCCAGCTGTCACGTAATCACAGAATGTTCTGAGTTCTAATGGACTCCGAAGGATCATTGAGTCCAGCTCAGCCCTGCACAGGATACCCCAAGAATCCCACCATGTGCCTGAGGGAATTGTCCCAACACCCCCTGAGGTCTGTCAGGCTGTGATCACTCACGGGGGAGCCCGTTCCAGTGCCCAGCACCTGCCAGGGAGAGAATCTTTTCCTCATAGCTAAGCTGAAGTGCCCTGACTGAACATTATGTTGTTCCCTCGTGTCCTGTCACTGGTCACCAGAGCGGGCATCAGTGTCCGTCTGTCCGCAGCCTGTTGAGAGGAGGCTGGAGCCGGCTTTGCGGTGTCCCTGCAGCCCCCTCCAGACCGAACGGAGCAGGTGACCTCAGTCCGGGCGGCTTCCCCACTATGGCCTTTCACCACACCCTTGAGTGTCCTTTGGAAGCTCTCTAAGAGCTGTCCTTGCCTTCCCGAGAGGACCCACGGCTTCCTCGGGGAACGCGGCTGCTGCCCATGGGCTCCGCCTGGAACCCCGCGCGTCCCTGTGCGGGGGCAGCGCGGCCCTTCCGCGCCGGGGCAGCGCCCCGCGGGCCCCGCACGGGCCCTACCTTTGAGGAGCCGCCGGAATGTCTCCTTGCCCACGTCCTGCACGCCCCTGGCCATGGCTTCTACCTCGGCCGGCACTCGCGGGCCCAGGAACCCGCGGCCACCGCCGCCCTCGCCGAGCCCCTGCGCCGCGCCGGCCGCCATGGCCGCGCCTCCCGCCCGCTGGCCGCGCGCCCTCCCCGCGGCAGGGGGCGCTGTGGGGGCGCGGCGCCGGAAGGAGCGGCCGCGACAGCGCGGCGCGTCCCGGGACCGGCCGCTGATGGCGGCGCCGCCGATGCCGTGTGCCCGAGGCGCTCCCGCCGCCGCCTGAGGCGCTCCCGCCGCCCCCGCGCCCGCCGCCATGACCGAGGAGCCGTACGAGAAGTTCCTGACCCCCGAGGAGCCGTGCCCGCTGCTCTCGCACCAGCACCCGCCGCGGGGCGGCAGCTTGAGCCTGAGCGAGGAGGGCTGCCTGGACGTCAGCGATTTCGGCTGCCAGCTCTCGTCCTGCCACCGCACCGACCCTCTGCACCGCTTCCACTCCAACAGGTCCGCTCGGCGCTCGGGGCGGCCGGGCCGGGTCATGCTGAGGGCCGGGCCGGGGTGCGGGGTCGCGGCGGGGTCGGGGCCGCCCCTGGCAGGGCCGCGCATCCTTCCCCGGCTCCTGTCTGCGGCGGGCCGGGCTGCAGGTGCCCCCCGTGTCCGCCCCACGCCCTGCTGGGTCACCCTTCCCCTTAGCTTGGTCTGGCTTCGGCTCATCACGTTACGGTTGACGGTGTGAGCTGGGTGGGTTTTTTAAGATGTGCTTTTTCATAGAATCACAGAATGGTTGGAAGGGACCCTAAAGGTCATCTAGTTCCAACTCCCCTGCCCTGGCTGGGACACCATCCACTTGAATCAGGATGCTCCTACCCTCAGTCTGAGTTTCTTAATTTATGAGATTTTGAATTTTTGAGGGCTGTAGGCAGCTACAGAATGGTGTGTTTATAAGACTTAAAGGCAGGCCTTGCATGGTCACCAGGCAGACCTTCAGAGATTCAGAATGAGCTAGGCGGCGTGGTGACTCCACTGACTCCTGCAGAAACATTTCCACCCCATGCTGCTAATTAAGGGCAAATTATTCTGCCTGTAATTTATAGAAGTGCTAATACAGCTCTGCAAAGAAATTCCAGTTGTGTTCATAAAATCAAAATCACAGTCTTGCTTTCCGAAAAACCTAGTTCTGCTAATACGTAGTATTAAGCTTGAATATAGCAATAGCTTTCTTTGAGAATACTCTATGAGATTTCAGTCTCCAACATACATGTCTCCAACATTCCTGTTCCAGTCTTGCAAGATTCTTTTGTGGGTTATTAGTATTTCTGTGGCACAATTATGAAGAGTGAGTTTGTATCAAGTCTTGAAAATTGCACTTTAAAAGTGTCATTCGCAAGGGCAAACTTTTAATTATACATTCTTAAATGATTCAGCATGAAGAGCATTGATCAAACATGATACACTCTCATAGTATAGTTCTTGAGTCATAAGACATGAGCAGTAAGATATATTCTTAGAATATCTGTAAATAAATGTGTGATAGTCACCAAATTTGCATTTAATTAATTTTGTACATTTCTCTGTATTGCCTTCCCAAGTGTGTTGCTCAGGTTTGCTCTATTTACAAGCCCAGGTTTGTAACCCAGGCTTCTCAAGGGGTTGTTTGACTTCTTTGGAAAAGGACATGCCCTGTCTTGCACTGATTAAGCCATTGCAGATGTGCAGCTCAATCTGTGGTGTTCACATAAGGCTTTCTATTTTTTGAAGTTAGGAGTAATTTTAATGCAGTTCCCCTTTGTTGTTAATCCAGTTCACCCCAGGGAGCACAGCAGCCCCCCAGCCATGAGAAGGTGAGGCTGGCTGCCTGCACCTGGAGTGTCTGTGTAGTTTGTTGGTGCTAGAGCCCCTGTACCTCATCCTTTGTTTTGATATGTCTTTGGAACTTTGTCCACTCTATCTCTCATTTCATTATTATTTCATGGATTCTGAAGGTGTATTCATGTTGAGTGGTGTGCTGTGTCACCACAGTTTTGTTTTGCTCATTCCCAGTGGATTGCCTTGCCCACAAGAGTCTGTACCAGCAAGGCTTTGCACATCTATAGGGGATGCAGAAAGGGAGGCAGGGCAAGAACTCCTGAATCTGCTACGAGGAAAGTTTTGGAAATGTCTTTAACATTGGATAAATTCACATCTGGCCAAGTAGGTGTGGGAGTAAATCCATCACAAACATATTTAGCCAGCCTGGTATGTGGTTTAATGAGATTGAGGACCAGCCTTTCTGCTGATAGGATTGCTCAGTGTGATAGAAGAGTGTTTTCTAGTTAGCCAGGCTGAAGTGGGCAGGCTGATGGAACAGGAGTTGATTGTGTGGGTTTGTGTGGTGCATTTTAGAAGCCCTTTTCAAATTGTTTTGGCCATATTGCAGTGCTGTGCTGACTCATATTTGTCTCGACCTACTTTTCTCCAATATGTAAAATAAGTTCCAGATATGGAGACTGATTTCATGAGCTTGTTACATTCTGGCTTACTCTCATTAGAGTAAAAAATCTGTTCTGTGAAAATTGAGTTCTCAATAGCTTTCCTTTAGCAACAACTTCAGCTAGCTTTGTAATGAGGCAAAAAAGTGTTTAGTTTTGGCATGGTATCATTTTCACACAGGTCTCTTCCCCACCCTACACTGTGCCATGTCCAATGGTTTTGACATTCAGAGTTGTGAATAATAGATCCATAATATGTTTCCTTATTAAGCCTTAATTTTGTGGGGGACTGTCAGCCTGGAATTTCTTCTTGACTTCTATTTGTCTTGAAGTCAAATTGATTAATTACTTACTTCTCTTTATTCCAGTTTATATGGAAGTTTAAATATTCCAATACATGGAAAATTTTATTTTTAGATCAGTGTGTTTTGAAAACCCAACCAGCAGCAAAACAGGGTCAATTTCCATATTACAGGAGCCATAGTTCTGGGGTAGAAACTGACAATAAAGGTGTAATTATACTAACTGTATATGGAATTTTGCCTTGATATTTGTTACACTGTGTTCCCTTTGATGTTGTTGATGTACTTTTAAAAATACTTAAAACCAGAATACTTCAATTTACACAATTATAACTTATTTCAATAAAATCAATGTGTAGTATCACTGACTAGCAAATTTGAGATAGTTTTACAAGGCTTAAAGGAATTTCTTAGCACACATGATGCCAATGTTTGCTGCTCTCTAATTGTGTTGTCCTGTTTTGCAGGTGGAACTTGACATCTTGTGGGACGAGCGTGGCCAGCTCGGAGTGCAGCGAGGAGCTCTTCTCATCCGTGTCTGTGGGGGACCAGGATGATTGCTACTCTCTGCTGGATGACCAGGAGTTCACCTCTTTTGATCTGTTCCCCGAGGGCAGTGTCTGCAGTGATGTCTCCTCCTCTATCAGCACTTACTGGGATTGGTCAGACAGTGAGTTTGAGTGGCAGGTAAACTGGTTCCACTGGAAATGTAAAATTTTGTGTAGACTATTGCATGCTGGATTTAGCTGTAGTTAAAAAGTGATAGAATAGCATGTCCTGAGTTGGAAGGGACCCACAAGGATCACTGAAGTCCAGCTCCTGGTCCTGCACAGGACAAGCCCAGGAGTTACACCCTGTGTCTGAGAGTGTTGCCCAAACACTCCTTGAACTCTGTCAGGCTTGGTGCTGTGATCACTGCCCTGGGGAGCCTGTTCCACTTCCCCAGCAGCCTCTGGGGGAAGAACCTTTTCCTGATACCTAACTTTAACTTCCCCTGACCTGGCATCCTGCTGTTCCCTTGTGTCCTGTCACTGGTCACCAGAGAGGACAGATTGCTGCCTCCCACTCCTCTTCCCCTCTTGAGGAAGCTGTAGACAGCTATGAAGTCTCCCCTCAAGTCTCCTCTTCTTCTGAACAAACCAAGTGACCTCAGCACTTGTTTCTTTGTAACTAGGAGCACATATCTGAATCTTGAATGATAGAAAAAATGTTTTGTTTCATTTTATTCCAACCTACTTAATCAGGAGGGGAGACTGAAGGTCAGCTCTCCTAAGAAGGTTGCTTACATATTGTGGTTGTTTGGTTTTAGGGATCAGTGTGTGTTTCTTGTAGCCATGAGCTTAGAGTCTGTGTACTGAGGATCTGCCCTGCTAATGAAATCTGGTTATAGATATCTGGTCCTACTGATACTTTCTAGGTAAAGTGTACAAACTCTTGCCATAGCTTATTCCTATAGTATTTTTTCTATCCCAATAAGAGTACATAGCTCATTTTGTCTCACCAGAAGGTGAATCACATCCTTTTCCCAAGTCTGTGCTGGATGCAGTCCTCATTGGGTATTTCTAGTTTGTGATAGTCTTCCCTGTTCAGCAGTTTTTCAAACATGATATGCATTTCTAGTACATTATAGACCTAAATTGACTTTTTATATTAAAGATTTAAATCAGCTATGAATGTATACATGACTTTGAAATAGGCAAAATAGGGTTTCAGAATTTATTGGGGAATACTTGAAAATTTTGTCATAAAGCTCAGTCAGAGCATGTAGAGAGTCTTGTAAGGACAGTACAGGAACTGAAAACTGATTTCAAGAAAGCTCAAATCCTGTTCCAGAAGATGCAAGTGAACTGGAGACGTGTACTGAGATCAGCTTTGAATTTCTGACTGGCTTAGTCCAGCTGCTGGTCTCAACAATGTATGTTATATCACTGCAGTTACAAGTGTGTGTGTATAATGCAGTCTGTAGGAACAGCTCAGGTTGGATCCCAAAGATTCAGAGCTTTATTGAGTTGTGAGATTTCAATTGCCTGATAAATATGGCAATTGTTTTGAAAAGATGCCATTTCCTATGCCTTAGCTAGCTGACAGAATGTTTGATTGGTAACCAGATTTTTTATTACTCTTTGTTTTTTAAAACAAGCTTTTCTCAAGAGACTTGCTTGATTGGATTTGTAGGATTTTGGAAAGACTTTTTTGTAGCTCTTTATGGTGTTATCTGGCAGAATCTGAGCACAAGTAATCCAGCTGTCCCACTTTAACTGGAAGTGCATCCAGAAACCACACATCAGTTGTATAAATGAAGCTAGCTGAAGTTCTCAGTTGCTTCCAGGCAAATGGCAGTGATTTTTATTTAATTTTCTTGTGTAATTATGGAGTTTGGTAGGAATTACAGACCTACTTTAAAATTATCTTCCTTAAACTAGATATGCTCCAAAATGGGAGGTTTAGATTTAGGTTTGGATTGTAATGGACAGTTTCCACTGATGGAGAAGGGAAATAGTTGAAGTGCAACTTCAGTCTGTGTTTTCTTGAACACAAATTTTTAAAGAGGATTGATAAGTACAGAACAGTGTGAATTGAGTTTGCTGCACTTGCTGTTTACGGGAAGATTCAAGGGAGTATTGCAGGTTTATGAGTAATTAGAAAGAGTTTGTTAAAGTACAGAGATAATCAATGCTTTGCTAATTTGATGGTATGTTTTGAATTGTTAATAGTGTTAGAATAATTTACAATCTGCCTACTCTATTCTAAAGCTTTGTTCTTCCTTTTGCATGTTACAAGTTGCCTGGCAGCGACATTGCAAGTGGGAGTGATGTGCTCTCTGATGTTATACCGAGTATTCCAAGCTCTCCCTGTCTGCTTCCCAAAAAGAAAAACAAGCACAGGAATCTTGATGAGCTTCCATGGAGTGCAATGACAAATGATGAACAGGTGACTTTTTTCCCTATGTGAGAACTGCAATGTACAGAAGAGCTTCCAATTAAAAGACACAAAGGCCATCCTGTTTGCTGCAGTGTAAATGCAGACCTGTGCAGAACTATTTGATTCTTAAAACTAAACCTTGTCCTTTGGATCTATAGGAGCCAGTTTAATGCCTACTCAAGTTTTCACCCTAAGTTTTTAAGGATACCCAAAGATAGAACCATGATATTTGAGCATGTTTTATTCTGTCAATTCTTTATTTCTTCTGTCTCTCATTTAGAATCAGTAATACTTCAAAATCACCTGCCTTTCTTTGGGTCCTAGGTTGAATATATTGAATATTTGAGTCGCAAAGTCAGTACAGAGATGGGCCTTCGAGAGCAACTTGATATTATTAAAATTATTGATCCTACTGCTCAGATCTCACCTACAGATAGTGAATTCATTATTGAATTGAACTGTCTCACAGATGAAAAACTGAAACAGGTGAGTTAAGGTTTGTACATTTGACTTCAGAGTTTCAGCATCGGATTGTATCTGGCAAAATCTTATGAACTTGTGATCAATTTTTATGCATAATCATTAGATGTTGAGAGAGACACTACAGCACAATACTGTCAGTGACAGAAAATAGAGTTCAAAAGCATATTTGTATGTATTAAACCTTGACATAAGACTGGTTGTATATTCTCATTGTGTGTTAAGCCAGAGCTGGGGAGTGTGTAATGGGTTATGTTGTAGACCTGGTGCTGCTTATGGCACTGTACTCCACTTCATGACCATCAGCTAGCTGAGAGTCTTCATTTGCTCAGTGAATGTAAACTAGCATTTAAAACTTAAAAAAATTGGAATTTATTGGGGAAGACCATAAATTTCATGTAGAAAGGGATAGAAAATAAAGCATTTTAAAGATATTACAAGACGCAAATTATAACCAAGAAGTGTGCCTGGCTGATGGGGTAGATACATCCTACTGTCTTCTCAGCCATTGAATTATTGAGATGTGTTGTTGGAAAGAGATGCAGTGTCCATACAAGCTGAACTCCTCAGTGTTGCACTGATAATGATGAAGGTTAAGTTGAAAATGGAAAACATTCACTGCTTTTATGAGCTTGGTCCTTTTCATATTTCAAACATTTTGTGTCATCTTAAAGTAGAAAAGAGCTTCTTTATTTACACACACTTTTGTGTGAATGTACTTAGCAAAATAAAAGGGTTTGATACATTAAGTAAACAACTTAATTCAGTTGAACTTAACTGATATTCCTGTTTGTTGTTGAAATAATAACATATTGTTACATAGTCACAAACCTGACAGGCAGAAGAGAAAAGAAGCCCCCAGCCCTTGCTACATATTTTTCTTCCTTCCATAGTGAAATGTCACAAATGTTAACATAGTTAAGTTCTCTGGGTCACTCCAGATTGCTTGTGATTTAAGCAGCCACAATAAAATGTTTTAAAAGCCTTACTGAGCTGACCCAATAACTCCATCATTATTAGATTGTGTTTTTTCCATGAAAAGCAGGATCTCAGTGCAGCATTTATCAGACTGCAGTAATTTTGCTGCCTCTGTTCTAAAGGTAAGAAGCTATATCAAGGAACACGGACCTCGGCAGCGGTCTGCAAGGGACAGCTGGAAAAGGAGCAGCTACAGCTGTGCAAGCACCAGTGGTGTGAGTGGTGCCAGTGGCAGCAGCAGCAGTGCCAGCATGGTCAGCTCAGCCAGCAGCAGCGGCTCCAGCGTTGCCAACTCCGCCTCCAACTCCAGTGCCAACATGAGTCGAGCGCACAGCGACAGCAATTTGTCCACAAGTGCTGCAGAGAGAATCCGGGATTCCAAAGTAAAGTTTCTAGTTATGGTGTCTGTGTTGATTAAGCTGTCTTAACTCCTGAAGCCTGCTCATGGGATCTTACCTGGGATGTTTGTCCTGAAGGAGCAGAGTAACTGAGTTGTCTGTCTAAGTCAGTGATCATAAGGAGTTTAAACTTGTGCTCTTCCCATCACTTCTAACCAGAAGCCTGGTGTTTGTAGTAGTAGATATTCTAATTCCTTTTGTTTAGGGTAAGTTGAGCGGGCTTGAATAAGGGCTTATGTATCTAACTTAAGAAAAAAATAGTTTAAGAATGATCACCCTAATTAAGGCATAATTTCTGGACAGCAGAGACACCCGTGATGCTTTTTGGTTTTTTTCTCAACTAGAAGTTTCATCAGGCTTTTTTAAAGTTCTTTATTTTTTGAGCATGTCTCATGTAATTCCTTGGTGAGAAGGCACCCTCTGAAGCATGTCTCATTTAAAGTAGAACTGTGGCACTCCTTGTGTCCCCATAATTTAAATTTCAGGTGTGAAGGAGTGGAGCAGTTCTTTCTTGTTTTCAGCGTCTTGGGTTTGTTAATGTAAGACTGTAACATTTCTCCAGCAATAAGGATTCCTTCAATGAGTGACTTGACTATGCAACATCACAGGTTAGTGTTGTGCCTCAGAATTCAGTTCTGGTAAATGGTCTTGATATTTTAATATTAGGTATGATTTTGGATGAATGTTTACACCACTGCTGAGAATTCGTATTTGTTATTTTTCAGAGCAGATGTTATTTTAGAGGTTAATTTATATTTGCCAGCTTTAGAGGTGTTTTTTTTCTAATTTACAGAACAAAATCTTATGTTTTGTCTGTTCTGTATTTTGACAGAAACGTTCCAAGCAACGGAAACTCCAGCAAAAGGCCTTAAGGAAGAGACAGCTGAAAGAGCAAAGACAGGCTCGTAAGGAAAGACTGAGTGGATTATTTCTTAATGAAGAAGTGCTGTCTTTAAAAGTGACTGAGGAGGACCATGAAGGAGATGTGGATGTTTTAATGTGACAGGGGTGAATTTATCAGTGTTCTTTCTAAGCCTTAAATGTATTATCCTTATTGTTTACATATGTTTCTTGACCAAATTTTGATTAGTATTAACAATACAAACCAGATCTTTTCTCAAGTGTAATTTTGCTAAGAAGGTCTAAGTATTGAGTAACTTCAGCTTTTTGAGACTAATTTTGCAACGAAGAATTCAGAAACTTACTTGTCTTCTGAAAAGCTGCTGAATAGATGTGATTTTAAAGAAATTTGAACTTGGCTAACATGCTAACTTACTTGCACGTAAGTCTAGGGGTACTTTTGGATGACACAAAGCATGCATTACTATGCTTCAGCTTTTTTAGGTTTTTTTCAGCTTTGAGTTAGTATTACACTTGACTTTTTCTGTCCTCCTTTTCTGTTATTAGGGAGATTGTTTAGCATGAGGAAAAATCTTTTGCTCTCTGGGGCTTTCTTCAGCCTTGCTCTTGGTTTGTACAAAATCCAAGTACTGTTGATACTTTTCTAAAAGTTTTGATTTAAATTAAACTACACAGAAAACAAGAAGCAGAGAATCTCTAATACAAATACCGCCTAAATAATGTAGTTCTTAGGAACCAACTAAAAATTAAAAAAAAAACCTCATAGTAATTGCAGACTTAGTCTTCAGAAGGTTATTTTGTTGCTCAGTATCTTAGGATTGTTACTAATGGTTCACCAATACATCCCTAGTATTTCTGTGAAAAGATTCTTATAAAAACACATTTATGAATTGAAAATACACTAACCTGCAATTAAGTTGTCAAGGACACTACTTAAAATAGTTAAAAACACTACTGGAAACAGAAGTGCAAACAAGTGGCACACAAATTCAGTGGTTTTCTTCCCCAGAAGCATATCTAAATATATTTAATTCATATTGTTGACAGGAGAACTTAATTAATGCAGCTGTACTTTTTAAATTGTATGTTTAGCTGAGGTTGTCTTCTGTGTGGGTTGTTGCACCATGACATGTATCAGAATTCTCCTTTTGTTGTCTATCAGCTTTTGAAATTTCTCATGATAAGAAAATTAGGTAAAATTGTGACTTTCAGGTAGGGAAGTAGTAGTAGTTTCAACCTTTTTCTTAACTCTGACAATCTTTAAGCTGATTTTAGTTTTTATCTTGGAACTACTTTTATAGAACTCCTTCCCCCATGGCTGAGATAAAAATGATAGTTCTAAATTTTAATGTGAAATTTAACAGTGTATAAAAGTGTTTTTGAGTTCTGAGTTTAGGAAATGATTTTTTTATTATGTTGATGCTTCCTTACTTTAATTTTGCTCTTGAATTAAGGAGTTTGACAGTTTAGTGTGGCCACAGGTGTCTGTAATTGCGGGATATAGCCCAATCCTACAGAATGCATGGTCAGCTTTAGGACTACTGACATTAATGTTCCATGCCCTGCACAGACTTACTAGCCCTGACAGCTGAAATATTTTTCTTTCAGAGGTGGCATTCCTTTTAGCCTTAAAATAAACTGACCAGTAAATTATCTGAACACTGGCCTCTGAAAGGGTTTTGATAAGAAATAAATGGGGTCCATAGTCAAACTAATGTGTTTGAACTTAGTGCTGCTCTACAACAGGTCCCCAGGCTTGACCACTGACTGACTAAAAGCCAGGTAATGTCATTTTAAGCTCAAGTTAGCTGTCCCATGTGGCCAGTTCTCTGTCCAATAACCACAAGTGTCTGTGACCTGTCAGTATTTGCTTGTACTGTGCTGTTGCTGATTGATGCCTCCCTCCTGTATAATCAATACTGAAAACTTCTTAACAGTATACACTTTACTGAGAATTTAGATTGACTTAAATCTGGAGCTTCATTTATATATCTTATATGGAAGATAAGATTCAATTGCTATCAATTTGGGTAATTTCAGGGTGTGGTTGTTAAACTCTTCCATGGTAATTGATGAATTCATCATGAAATAGTGTTCACCATGTGTACACTGGTGAATTCATCAGTGTTCACCATGTGTACACTGTCACAGTTCAGTACAACCTTTATTTTCTGCAGTGACTTTGAAATGTGATGGAATTTTTTTTTCTGAAGAAAAATGCACACTTTGTACTGTAGAGAATTGAAACTCTGAAGTGAATTGTAAGGAAGGTGCAATATCTCAGTGTAGTGGAGCATGAAAGTGTGTTCACTTTATTCTGTTTCAGCAGTTATTCAGAGTTTAAAATGCCTCAGGGTTTTGTTGAGAGAAGACCCCATCATTTTGATGAGGTACAGTTCATTCTGGCCACCTGTCTCCTAGCTTCCAGAGATCCTGAAGTGAGGGAGGATAGTATTTCCATCATAGTGTGAGCATGTAAATATAAATTATTCTAAGTGATTAGATGGGTCCAGATGCTCATCTGTTAGATGGACAAAAAGGTCCTGGGTGCCAGAATAGCTGATTGTGCTGTGTTGTCTCCAGCAGGTACTTCAGTCATGTGAGTGACAGTTAAAATGATAGAAGAGAGTGGATTTCCAGGGATTCCATGCTAATAATTTATAGCTCTGTGATCTCATAGATCCAGGATGCTCATAAGAATACAAAGAATACAAAACTCTAAATGTTCTGCTAAGGATGCAGAATAACATCTTGCTTACCTTGAATGTTCTTTGCCAAGTACTCAGAGATACAATGTTGTCTCTCCCTGATCTCAGAGAATCAGGCCTGAAGTCACTGTGGCATTCAGGAGTTCTCATATTCTCATATACTTCTACACATTTGGGTTTTTTTTCCTTTTGCTTTCTCATCCTCTGTAGTTGCAGTGACACACTCATTTTGTGGTGGGGGAAGGTTTTTTGTCAGATTCATGGTTTTCCCTGCAGCATGCTCAACATTTACTCAGGAAGACTCTGTCCGTGGTGGTTTTAAAAGACGTGTAGATGTGGCACCTAGACATGGTTTAGTGGTGGGCTTGGCAGTGTTAGATTTAGGGTTGATGATCCTAAAAGGACTTTTCCAATCTAAATCTGTTAATTTCCGTGAAATACCTGTGGTAGTAGTCAAACAGTGGCAATGTCAGTGAAATCTGATCTTGCTGATACAAGTTTTGGCCTTTGTGGCTATAGGTGTAACTACTGGGTTCTGATGAAGAGTAACAGACTGCTAAAATAATGCATCCTTATTGAGTTTTTTTCTTAAAAAAATAAATCAAAACTCTGCTTTTTATTAATGGAGAAAAAATGTGAAGCTTAAAAGCAATACAGAGACACACAGGAAAAAGCTCATGGTTACTTGGCTTCATGGTACTGAAACTGTCTGTAGGAACTTTGTACCCACTGCAGTGTGGATATAAACATTTTACACTCTGTAATGATAACAGTTTGCTTCCATGGTAACTTTTTCTCTAAAAAGGCTTAGAAGGAGCACTGAAAGTCTGATTGCAATAGGACTGTAAACAAGAGAGAACATTATTTTCTAATATGATTTTAAAGATGAGAAGAAAGCTGCCTGACAAACTTGGCTGATTTCTGTGTATCTAATGTCATCTTTTGTTAAAATGCCTATTTTTTTTAATCTGGGAAGCTCATAAAAAGATGGTTACAATGTGCTCAGTATGGGGTGCTTACTTGGAAGAGCAGGAAAAGTCTTTACAAGACTTTCCTGGGCTCAAATTTTAGTTCTCATATTGTGGTTTGAAACCTGTGAAGATCATTCTCTGGGGAGAAAACAAACCAACAACCTGCTTGAACTTACTTACATGCATTTACATCAGAGTGCATATACAACACAGAAAAATAAAAATGGCAATATTTCCTGTTTATCTATGCTGAATGGCCTGAAGCCATTTTTTTTCTCCTAACACTCCTTCAACTTTGAAATCAGTTGATGCATTGGTCTATAAATATTAATAAACCTGACTGTTTTGGGAGCTTTTAAAGTTCATTCATATAAGCCAGATTTTCATGGCAAATGTTGTTAGATTTATTGGTTTAATTTTCTTAAGTGTACTGATCTTGCAATTCTTGGGAACAGAAAAGTCAACAGTTGTCCATTTAAGGATTGCAAAGATTAGTTTATTAATCTAGCAAGAGCAAATCTATGTAATATTCAAAGTTTGTCTATTTTGACTGTTAACTCTGATGAATCATATTTGCATTCTCTCTCATCTGGCTAACTTTAAAACATTTCCAAATTACAAATAAATAGTCCAGTGTAAAAAAAATAAAATTGTAATATGAAAGCCTTGAATATAGTTAATAACCAAAGCAAGGGGAAGGTGGGGGGGTTGATTTTTTTTTCTTTATTTTTGTGGGGGGGAGAGAGGAGGGTATAGATTAGAGTATATGGTATTGCTTAAATTGAGGGGGTTTTTTTCCCAGGTTCTCTGCTAATTGTATTGCTAAAATGCACTTTTGTATAGAAAACCATTCTCTGTACATTCTGTATCTACTTTACACAATGTTTATAGAGATTTTTCTGAAGTTGTGAAGGATTTACTGAAAGCTCTGATGCTGTTGAATTTAAGTTTTCATTGTATTTGAAAATAGTTATGTGCATATTGAAGTACAGGTTGGAATTAAAATTAATGATATAGCAAAGATATTCTTATTAAATGATGTGGTGTCTTCTTCAGAGAAGGGGGGTTCTTATACAGGACCTGTGAAGTCACTCTTCAGGCAGAAAATATAAATTTCTGTCACTGCACAGGCAGAAAATGAAAATAAAGTGGCACATCTTACTTGTTCTTGATGGCAGAAAGGAAACTGGTCCCCCCTTAGCTAAGGGGGTTTGTTAACTGCAAAATCTGACAAGAATGGTTTCATAGGGAAGCAATTAATTGTTTTGAATTGTATAACCCAAGGTCATGTACTTAAAGCTGTCTGTCCTTTGTTTTGATTCCTGTGCCAGAGGTATTTTTTATATCTATGCTCAGCACCAGCAAGAACATGGCAGTCTTTGAACAGGCAAGAATGAGGACACTTGCCAGCTTGTAGAAGTTGTGTCCCTGAGCAAAATTTGCCTTCTGCAATACTGAAGTTTGAAGTGTAATATTGCAAAATCTCCTTTTCCCCTTTGGAGTCCAGTAAAAAAATCCTGAAAACCTGAGAAGAGGATGGCTGGCATAGGGATGTATTCCTCAGCATGCACAAAGTTTCCTGCAGCAGCTCAGGGATCTAAAACTGCCTTCTTTGTCTTGGCTATGGCTCATCAGACACTTCTGGGATTTGATTCTCATCAAACACTGACAGAAGTTAAAACTGACCAAGTGTTGCTATCCCAGTTTCTGTGGATGTCAGGGGATGGAGGACAGGGTGAAAATGCTGCGTATCACAGCAAGTCTTGTCAAACTGAGAGATCTTTACTTGTTGTGAACAGAACTGTGGAAGCTCTTGCTCTTGTGTTGCTCTGCCTCCACCTGAGCAGCCTGCTTGTGTGCTTTTTGTTTTCACCCAAAGGTGAGTGACAGTGTGGAATGTTTTGCAACAAAAACCAAATTGAAATGTTTCCAAGGACCTTGACCTACTGGGATGTTGGCTTGTTTTGAGGGCTGATGTTTCCTTGGACAGCACCCAGGAGCTGCA